AATACCTGAAATGTGCTTAAAATTTGGGGAGCTGCCAAAAAGGTTGCTGTGACTTTGGAAAGTACCCTCCAAATTAGCAAATGTAACAATATTTTATGCTTACCTTTAAAACAACACAAGTCGGTAATGTGAAATGATTATGAGATTTTTTTTATCAAAAAGCTGAGAAAAAAAGTGGCTTTCAAGCGCTATTTTACGATCTTATGTATTCGCATTTCTAATGACTTTATACTCTAGCCAAGATGTGAACAACTGTTCTTGAATTCGGCTCATCTGGTACATCCACATAGTCGACTGCTGTTCACTATCGAGCTCATAGGTGTAAATCTACGCTTTTGCATCTGAAACGATGTCGTAGACGGGTTTCGAAACACCGCTATCATATTTTTTAGCATTACTCACCCATCGCCATGAGCCTTTTATTGAGAGCTTGGCAAATTGTGTGGGATCTAACATGAACTATTTTTTCATCGATCGTTTGTCCACGCAATATTGATTACATACTGGTCGCATTAATGCCCATAGTTGTTTCCATCTCAGGATCGGTCAGATGACGATCTTGCAATATCCCTTTGCGCACAACATCAATAATTCCTCTATTAAATCTTGATTTTGGACGACCTTCACAAAGTTGTACGTTGACAGATATACGACCTCGATTGAATTCACAATACCATTGATAAGCACCGTTGCTTGTAGGAGCTTGAAGGAGCTTCATCATAAAAAATTTACTTCAGTTCGTCGATTGCTGTGTTTACACACGTCGAAATTTGTAAAAATTTTAAATTTTATTTTTTGGCTGAGATGAATATGTCAAGTTACTGTAAACAACAAAAGTAACTCTAATATGTTAAACTTTACGTTAAAATGGCGAGCAAATGGTGGATGTGATCATGCTTGAGCCAACCGCTTTCCTAAGGTTATTCTACTTTCGATGTACATTTTTAGTATGAGTTATTGAGATTTTTTCCTAATGTCACAAAAAATGTTTATTAACAGATTATGTCACGGGAATTTAGGTTAATAATACAGCATTGAACAAGATAGAGGAAGCAGCTTTATATGCATAAAGCATAAATGCATAAATCCTCTGTTTTCCCCAAAAGAAAATAAAAACAAATCATATTGGCTCGCAAGACTATTCTGGGTGGAAGTAGAATAATAGAAGAGATTGCAAAAAATGCTCATGATATCTGGCGGTATGAGCACTCTTTTCTATCGTTTCCTCATTTCACTAAGTCGCAAGATGCACTCACCAAGGAAATGTGTGCTATGCGCCACTATATGTCTAGCCTAAGCTATAGAAAGAGCGCGAGAGCAGTTAAGAAATTTTGAATCAAGGGTCAGCGATAACAGTTAAGCATATCAGCCGTCTAATGAATTAGATGCACATTATAACGCAGATAACCGATTCTACAAATTCATAAATAGGCACGAGTGCGTTTGTCTCAATCAGTTATAAAGTAAAAAGGCTTGTAGTTTTTACAAATATTTGTGACAGACGCTGAAGTGATGCAAAGCTAAATTAAATAATTCATTATACTCCGCACTCTATCTCGGTAAGTGATAAGAACACTTGTAGATTATAATTATTTGCAACAAAATATAAATAACGCTCGACTACCTCACAATATCTTCAGTTTCATTTCAGATAGTGTCTATTAAAAAGGTTTCTACACACACCCGCTACAAGCATGTTTTTGAACTTGGTGGCGCTTAGTATTGTCCTGCTGCTAGCCTTCCTTAAGCACAGACACGGTTACTGGAAACGCCGCGGTGTACCACATGAAGCGCCACACTTTCCACTGGGTGATTTTAAGGAATGGCGCAACACAAAATGTTTCTTTGAAATATTAGCTCCGATCTATAAGAAATTCAAAGGCAGTGCACCATTCGCCGGCATGTTCATGGCCTTTAGGCCAGTCGCACTCATCTTGGACCCAGACCTGGTGAAGAGCATACTTATTAAAGACTTTAATCATTTTCGTGAACGCGGTGTGTTCTCCAATGTTAGGGACGATCCACTCACGGGTCATCTCTTCGCCTTGGAAGGTACCAAATGGCGTGAGTTACGTCAGAAACTCTCTGCAGCGTTTAGTTCCGGCAAAATGAAACACATGCATCCCATCGTGGTCAAAGTGGCTGAGGAATTTAAAAAAGTTTTGGAAGAAAAGCAAGCGACCGCTGCTGGTGGTGTCATTGAGATAACCGACTTGCTCTCGCGCTTCACGGCCGATATTATCGGCATCTGCGCCTTTGGCATCGAGTGCAACAGTTTGCGCAATCCGCAGGCGGACTTCGTGGTGATGGGTAGGAAAGCGAATATCGATCGACGTCATGGCTTCCTTCTGGATACCTTTATGGAAGCGGCGCCGAAGTTGGCACGTACGTTGCGTATGCGACAAACCACACAAGAAGTAAATGACTTCTATATGGGCATCGTACGTGAAACCATCGAGTATCGGGAAAAGACTGGTGTCAAACGCAACGACCTTATGGATACCCTACTGGAATTAAAGAGCAAGGACGCCAATGATGGCGGACTCACAGTTAATGAGATTGCTGCACAAGCTTTCGTCTTCCTTATAGCTGGTTTTGAGACCTCCTCAACCACAATGGGTTATGTACTTTATGAGCTGGCCAAATGGCAGGACATACAGAATCGATTGCGCGCTGAAATAAATACTGTGCTAGAGCGACACAAAAATCAATTCACCTACGAGGCAATGCAAGATATGCGCTACATGGAGCAAGTACTATCAGGTGGGTGACGCTGTCGATCAACTATTCGTATAAATCTAATTCATGCTTTGATTTTCAGAGACACTGCGAATATATCCAATTATAGGCCATTTGATACGTGAATCTGATATTGATTATAAGACCGCAGATCCGCGCTTTACCATCGAGAAAGGCACTATGGTTATTTTACCCGTCTATGAGCTGCAGCACGACCCTCAATACTTCCCAAATCCCGAAAAATTCGATCCAGAGCGGTTTTCGGAAGCGGAAATAAAAACTCGGCCCGCCTGTACTTATCTGCCCTTTGGCGATGGTCCACGCAATTGCATCGGTCTACGCTTCGGCAAAATGCAGGTGTGCATTGGACTCACATATTTGCTGAGACATTTCAAGTTTTCCGTTTGCGAAGAAACGGAGGAGCGCTTGAACTTTCAGGTCGAGAAAATAATACTACAGCCAATCAATGGCATTAAACTGCGCGTGGAGCGCGTGTAAAAGTGAACGGCAGTGCTAATTGGCTGCTAGTTGGTCTAGAGGACACATGCCTTAGTGCTGACTGTTTTTGTTATATAAAATATTATAATAATAAAGCTTAATTTGATTATTAATTTAAATTATTGTTTAACTTTGGTGACCTATTTTTAAGTTCAAAATAGAGATATTTGAAACTTCCAACATTTTTCTGGAAACATACTTGATATAGAACAACAACAACTTCACTCTTTCCAATTTTTAATCTCATTTTCTTGTTCTTTCAAAAAAAGAGAGTGCTCTCTCACATGCATAAAATGTGAACCGACATCTGTGTAGTACAGGCCACTATTTGGTAGCATCTGTCATGAAACATGTTGAAATGAATCCCAATAAATTATAAATATGTTATATAAAATAAACGGAAGTACTGGACATAGATAGTATCGAGAGGATACATAAAGCAGCAAAACACACGGATAGCCAGGCGGCTTTACTGGCCTTGTCGTCGCCCATAACTTATTAAAGCATAGTCCAAACTGCAAGAAGGAACTGAGTTCACCAGATCCAGTCTAGGTGGAGCTTGACCTAGACTTGATCTGGGTTCCCGACCAAAGGAACATTTTCGACAACGAAAAAGTAGACGAGTTGGCAAAGGCAGGAGCKTTCCTAAACGAATCCGAGGCGGATTTGATACCAAACCCACTAGGATCAATCAGCAAAGMGCTCAATTTACAATTTCATCAAATAGCAAATACCTAATGGAATAATATAGCAAAATACAATATAACTAAACAGATTTGGAAAATATATGACAAGAAAAGAACTAACTACTTATTAMATACGTCCACRAAAAATATCTACAGAMTAACTGCTACTATAACAGGGCATTTGGRGAACACGYGTCCAAAATGGKTATGCCCWACAACAATCTGCCGAGTCTGCGAACTAGTAGGRAATAAGRAAAYARTTTTCCACTTTCTCAATGAATGCCCAGCCCTATCGCAGATCCGAGACAAAACATTTGGAATCCATCTAGCACCAAACCTTTAATGGATGTCTATAAAAAGCAKATCGGACTACAAAATGATTAAAAARAGAAGGTGAAAYGTGATAGCAATATTRAAAAGGTSTACGACTACGCCTGTACCAAAATGGCACAGCTACCATTTACTAATAACTAACTCTATAAAAAAAATGTAAAAAAATAAACTATCCGTGAACATTATGAATAATTCTCTGTTATAAAACGCCAACGGTCTCACCCTATACTACTGTGTTGTCATTAGAGAGCACTGAGAGCAAGTGTTAAAGAGAACGTTGTATTTCACCACATGGCGAAAGCTCACCCAAATAACTTGCGCTCTCAAACAGCGCTGCCGAATTTAAATATAGAACATGCGCCCATTAACAGATAAAAGTGTTAAGTCCAAATGTTAAGATTGATTCAGAAATAGATTTTGGGCAGAATTTATTTGACAGAGCGCTAGGAAATTATTAAACCAATACCGATTTTCATTTTAGCACAAATTTAGTTCAAAGAAGAGCAAATTCTATAATAGAAAACAGCACACAATCGTCAGCATATCAAAAAATCGAAAGACTAGTTAATTAATTTCTTTGCTCAAGTGGTTATAAGAAATGAAATTCAATAGATAAAATCGCTGATTCCATGCACATGAGCGAGCTTTTGTTATTCTTCTATTTTTTTATTATTTAACTTCTACTTGCTTACGTTAAATAGTTTTTTGTTGTCGGCTAAGAAATATTTAATGAGCGCCGTTTCGGCATTTCTAGTCAGTGGGATGAGTATGCAACGCCAGCTTGAACATCAATTTTATTTATAATTTAATGTTAAATAATTCGTGGACATTAATGTTCTGAATGAAATTCAGTATCAACTAAACTTCAGTTCAAAATACAACCAAGAAACATATAAGCTCAGCATGTTTGTCTTTTCGGCGCTCCTCGTCGCAGCATTCGGACTGATTGTGATCGCACTACACCGCCACTACAGCTATTGGCAACGTCGTGGGGTACCGCAGGTACGTCCCCGCTATGTGGTGGGCAATATAGAGCGCGCTACCGGCGGTCAAGTGCAGCTGCGACACTTTAACCAGCGGCTTTATGAAACGTTTAAGCAGCGACGTCCCTTTGTCGGCATGTACATCTTCTTTACACGTGCCGCGCTCATACTCGATTTGGATGTGATTAAGGACATATGTATAAGCAAGTTTTCCAATTTCCAAGATCGTGGCGTTTTTTCTAATCCGCGCGATGATCCATTGACTGGCCACCTCTTTCGTTTGGAAGGAGCACAGTGGCACGCCATGCGCAATAAACTCACACCCGTATTCTCTTCGGGAAATATGAAATTCATGTTCCCCACCGTGGTGAAAGTGGGTAATGAATTGGCACGCGCTTGCCACCAGACAATCGGAGACAGTCGCCAGCAGTGCGAACTTGAAATGAAGGAGATTTGCGCGCGCTACACCACTGATGTTATTGGCACTTGTGCTTTCGGTATTGAATGCAATAGTTTGCTCGATCCACAAGCCGAGTTTAGGCGTCGTGGTCATGCCGTTTTTACCGAACCACGCCACTCACAACTGGTGCAGACATTCATGTTGATGAATCCAGATTGGGCGCGTCGTATGCGCCTGAAATTCTTTCCGGATCACATCATACAGTTCTACATAGATGTGGTGCGTCAGACAGTGGAGCTACGACAGCGTGAGCATATCAAACGCAATGATTTCATGGACTTGTTAATCGGCTTAAAGGCGGAGGATGAGCGCTTGGCCTTGAACAGCGATGGTATTGATCTATCGCAAGGCTTGACACTGCACCAAATGGTATCGCAGGCATTTGTCTTCTTTGTGGCGGGCTTCGATACATCGTCAACAACCATGTCGTTATGCCTCTATGAACTCGCGTTGAACGAGACCATACAGGCGCAGGTGCGTGCTGAAATCGTGCGCGTACTAAACGAGCACAACAACCAACTTACTTACGAGGCGTTAAACGAAATGCAGTACCTCGACCAAGCAGTGGATGGTAAGTGATGTTATTAATTGCGAAAAATATATTATATTAACTATTTGTCAATTCAAGAAACACTACGCAAATACCCTGTCGTACCATATCTCGTGCGCAAAGCCAAAGCGGACTATTTGGTGCCCAATACGAACGAAGTCATTGAGAAGGGATGTCTGGTGGTATTACCCGCGCACGCCATTCAACACGACAACGAACTTTACCCCGAACCAGATAAATTCAATCCGGATCGCTTCAAACCAGAGTTGTGTCGTGAACGTCACGCTGCCGCTTATATGCCATTCGGTATAGGTCCACGCGCATGTATTGGGTTGCGTTTCGGCAAAATGCAAGCTAAAATTGGACTCATTAATTTACTAAAACACTTCAAATTTAGCAGATCCGCGAACACACAAGAGCCACTGCAATTCATCGAACGCATATTCCAAATCACCCCAGCCAGTGGCATACACTTGAGAGTAGAGCCTGTGGGCGGGGTAAGCCAATGAATAGTAACATTTCAGAAATAAATTTTATTTTGTACTAGAAATGTTTGTCTTGAAAAGAATTTGCGTAATTTATTTTCCCTCTTCTGCATTTTTACCAAAATTTTGTCATTTCCTGACGTGTCGAAATCATGAGAGCGTTAGGTTCGAGTTATACTAACCTATTAAGTATATAAGTTAGTTAGTTATTCAGTTAGTATACCCAGAACTTTGAAAAACTAGTATAATTTCAGGTAACAGCTTACGCTGACGACTTTAATCTTATGGTCAAAAGGAAAATTCTAAATACCTTCTAGGAGCTAACCGAAGTAAATCCCAATCAATATTCAACTGATGTAAGAAGCTTGAACGTGTCCAAAGAGCGGCTGTCATAGCCATCTCTGGTGCATTTCAGCCGACACCAACAATGACATTTAAGGCCATTTTAAACATAGCACCCTCAAGAGATGTGGTTATATGAAAGGCCCGGAAAAGAACACGCTGAAAAGAGACCTTTTCACCTTTTTCACGGATGAGTCAAAGCTAGAAAGGAAGGTTAGAAAGGAACTTTTCTGTTAGGATCGCTCCTTCAATCTTATCTTCAATGATTTCAGCCAGAAGTATCCGCTATAAAGAAGCCGGTAAGCAAAGTGCAACCTCATTCAAAGCTATTCAGGAAGCGTATAGCTTCACTAGAAATCAAGCTTCATCATTAACTCGTTTGGATGCCTGACGCTGGCAGTTGGCAAGTCAATGCGCTAGCCAGGAACACCCTTGCCTTGTTCACATAGCAATGGGACCATGTTGAATCTCCATTGGCATCTGGAGAGTAAAGTGAAATTATACATCCACTTTCTCCTCCATTGGCTATCATTTGTATGACTGGAGCGAAATTTCTCGGCAGTTTTACCTTCGGAAAACCAGGAGACATTGCCGAAACTGACATTTGCCGTCTCAATAAAATTGTAATAGGGTCGAACCGCCTTGCCAATAATCTATCATACAGAAATTTCAGATAACACAACGGACAGCTTAGAAGTCCAAGTGAGATCTCTATTAGGATTGGCCTCTTAACCTAACCTAGTATAATACCCGATAAGTGATTTTAACTAAAATTGAATTGGTGCGTGGCTTTCTTTTAAACAAACGAAGCACCCAAATACACACTGTCGTAATCAGCGCGAGAATAGTAGACTAAAATAAGCCATCAAAACGGGTGCACTTAATATTTCAATATACTGGCAAATACTAAGAACTTTTGTTTAAACAAAAATATAAATTCTTGCACAATAAACTAAAAATCCATTCGATAAGAAAACCGCAAAAATTTTGGCGGCAAGGAAGCGTGGGTATTTTTACACTGACGATAAGCTTTTGGATGTAAAGTACGCGACCGCAAAGGGGAAACAAGAGAACTTTTATAACACGAAAATGCATTTGCAAAACCAGTTGCAAGCGCTCTGTCGCTCAGCGCAGTTGAAAGCACATACTCTTCGCGTTATTGTGGGAAATCAAACCAAATATTTCTGTAAATGAGAACGAAATACAAAAAACATAGAAAATATTAAATTTTTTGGAAAGAAAAATAGAAATAAACATAAAAATGGACACTGCAATACTCTATGCACTTGTCGTCGTTGTCGTGGGCGCCATTTATTGGAAACTACGTCACCACTACAGCTATTGGGCACGCCGCGGCGTACCACACGAGCCACCGCAATACTTCCTCGGAAATATGAGTGGCCTCGGTAGCAAGTATCACTGGAAAGACATCAATATACGCTTCTATAATCGATTCAGAGGTCAAACGCCCATATTTGGCGCCTACACATTCCTCAAGCGCGTCGCCTACATCATAGATTTCGATCTAATCAAGCAAATTTTAGTGAAAGATTTCAACTATTTCACCGATCGTGGCCTCTTTCACAATGTGCGCGATGATCCACTCACCGGCAATTTGCTGTTCTTGGACGGCGAGCCATGGCGTGTACTGCGCCACAAGTTATCACCCGCTTTCACCACCGGCAAGATACGTTTCATGTTCCCCACCATGGTGACAGTGAGTGAGCGCGTTGTTGGCGCATGCCAGCGTATTATGAATATAGGCGGCACCGTGGAAATGAAGGAGCTCTGTGCGCGCTACACCACCGATGTTATTGGTGAAGTAGCCTTCGGCATTGAGTGCAATAGTTTGAAAGATCCACAAGCGATATTCCGGCGTATGGGCAGGAATATTGTCGAGAAGCCACGTCACTCACTACTCGTGCAGGCCTTCATGTTCACAGACCCGGAGCGCGCACGTCAGTTGCGCTTAAAGAATTTTACCGATGATGTCACCGAATTCTTCATGGGTGTAGTGCGTGAAACCGTGGCCTACAGGGAAAAGAATGGCGTGAAACGTAACGATTTCATGGATATGATGTTGGAGATGAAGGCGCAACGCGATCGCCTCAAAGACGGTGACATCAAAGAGGATGATTTGACTAACGGTTTGAACATCGAGCAGGTTGCAGCGCAAGCGCTGGTCTTCTATTTGGCTGGCTTTGAAACCTCATCCACCGTCATGTCTTTCTGTTTGTATGAGTTGGCCTTGAATCCAGAAGTGCAAGAGAAATTGCGTGAAGAAATATTTAGTGTATTGCAGAAATCAGAGGACCAAGTAACATACGAGTCTATCAAGGAAATAACTTATTTGAAGAAAGTCATATCAGGTGGGTGCAAAGTTGCTTAGCAAAATACTTGCTAATATTATTTTCTTACATCTTGCTTAATTTGTTTGCTTAGAAACGCTACGCAAGCATCCAGTCATACCGCATCTAACGCGCTTGACCGTCGCCGATTACAAGGTGCCGAATACCAACTGGTTGCTGGAGCGCGGCATGCGCATCTTCATACCCGTCGACGCTATTCACCATGACCCCAAAATCTATCCCGATCCCGAGAAATTCGACCCCGAGCGCTTTACACCGGAAGCCATTGCGCAGCGCCACCCTTTCGCCTACTTGCCTTTCGGTGACGGCCCGCGCAATTGCATTGGCATGCGTTTCGGCGAATTGCAGACCGCCATTGGCGTCATACAACTACTGCGTCACTTTCGCTTCAAACCATCATCGCGCACACTCTCACCTATGGTTTATTTGAAAAAGAATTTTCTCATAGCCGCTGACGGGGGCATACACTTGACCGTGGAGAATCTGGAGAAAAGAAACTAGAAGCTAAAAAGCATATAATTGCGTCAGAAAATTAGTCATGCAAAATAATGCCACCTTGTTGCTGTAATTGCGTTCTATAAACATACATATGCGCATGTGCATATCTATTAGCCCACGTAATGTCTCCTTATATTGAAATGCATTTCTAAGCTGTTCCCCAATCTTTCTAATATGCCTTCACCCGATTAAACTTCAAAACATGTAATTATCTATCGTCTATGTACTCACAATAAAGCCGCTTTGTAATTGACTGTTTTGTTTCATTGTGTGTGTGTTTTGTATCTGACATTCAATGTGTTAATTATAAATATTTATAGAAAATAAAAACAAAACACTTCCAATTAATGGCTTTCATAATACATAATACAAGTGAATGCGCAAACATGGAAATTACATGGATTACATATGTATTCCTACAAACATACATACGCATGTACAAGTTCAAGTATCATAAGTGTATGTGACAGTGGGTGTGTTGCTGTTTTTCGCTGCCTAACACTCTTATCTCGATCTGCGTGCTCTTCGTAAACAAAGCGCTCTACTCGATGCAGTTATACATATATGTTTGTATGTATGTATGTTTGAATTTAAATATGAATAAAATAGCGCCGATGAGAACATAAATTTTTTCTATCCCGCTAGAACATGAGAGGTACTGCCCGAAATTAGAAACACCCAAGTGAGAAATCTGTTTAGTTAAATTTCCTGAATATTTTTATTCTTTGCTCAAACAAGTATTTACGTGCTTTTTGATTTGTTTTATATATTGAAAGATTATAAAATATATATATGTATATTAATTCATAAAACCATAAAGCATTCCGTCGTTATAGCCGAATCGCTCCTCCTTTTCTCTTTTTGGCGCCAATTCGAGACACCAAGTGCAGCCAGGTCCTTCTCCACTTGATCTCTGCAACGGAATGCAGGTCTTCCTCTTCTTACCGAGACGGGTACTAAATCGAAAACCTGCAAAGTTGGAGTGTTCTTTTCCATTCGGACAACATGACCGTGCTGGCTAGGCCGCTGCCTATTAATTCGATGGAATTTCTTAATGTCGTCGTATATCTGGAACAGCTCATCGTTCCATCGCTCATCGGTATGCGCCATTGCCAATGCGCAAAGACCATAAATCTTCCGCAGAAGCTTTGTCTCGAAAACTTCTAACGTCGCCCCATCAGCTATTGTCATCGTCCATGCCTCTGCACTATAAAGCAAGATGGTGATGATAAATGACCTGTTTTGCCTAGGATCTAGGACTTCAACGTTATGACTGTCAACAGTGACGATCATGAGTGTGAGAATGAGTTTCACTTCACACTTGGCAAAAGTGAAGCAGGGACAGTAGGCAAATGTAGGCGAAATACGACGCATTTTGAAGAGTGATTGGTGTCTCGAACGTCGTTCTGTACATCATCGTTGTTTGTGCAACTTATGGAGCCGCTATATGGTGGGAAGTAGCCATGTCAAAAACTCCTCTCCATACAGCGTTTTATTATGTTTGCCTGTATGTCGCTCCGTCTCAACGGATGCAATGCTCGTACTGTTAAGAGCACCTCCTCTTGATCTGATTGTCATACAGCGTGTTGTTGCATTCAGGTTAAGGAGGGCTTGAGTGTGTCATTTCTGCAGAATGGTTTGATTTCTGAAGATGATGTGGAGAGGGAGGAATTATCAAGGAAGAAGGAGGCAAAAACTTTGGAAGAATATCCGCAGAATGTCAATTTTATGGAAAGAAACCCCGACTTTAAATTCTGTCTATGCTCGCACTTCCTATTTACTGGCCATGGAACTTTGAATGCATTCTTGCATAGGAGAAATCTATCGGAAACATCAGAATGTGTGTATGGAGCACGTAATAAGGATTGGGTTCGTGTCATTGGAGAATGTCCAATGTACTCGGATATAAGGAACCCTGGGGGAATGCGAATTAGCCAAACAAATTGATGGCTAGATGTCAGCGGTGTGATCTTCACTAGTTGGAATGCCGAACTGTTAGGGACGTTTGAAAGGTTTGCGCGTAAGTTATGTAAGCGGCGAAGACTATTGGCGGAAACTTAAGGTTAGGTAAGGCGTGATGTGTAGGTGCGTGAGATGGGGTCTAACCCCTGATCACCAGTTCAGAGAAGTATGGAAGCTCATCTGGTAGTAGTTTTTTCTACGAGGTCTGAGCGGAGACTTAATTCTGGTACAAGGTGGAGTAGGAGCCTTTGTAGTGCGCTCCAACCTGCTCATCGGGGAAACAAACATCTGTAATAAGACAAAGCATTGAAGTATAATTTTGTGACATCCCGTCAAAAAAGAAAGTGGTCACGACCTTCTTAAGTATTTATAAGTATGTTGTAAATCTCTTTTATTTTTTTTTTGTTTTTTTTTTTTTTGTAATCGATAAATGCTTTCTTTGCACAACAACTTCATTAACTTAAAACAAAATGAATGCCTTAATATTGCCAAAATTTTACAAACCTTTCTTATACATATGTATACCGGTACTTTCAACTTCAAACTAAGTACAAAATACAGAAATATAACAGTAAAAATTAAAGCTTTATAAAGCCGAAATTCTCAATAGTCTTCACTTGAAACGCACTGCAAGAAAATATACAACTTTAGCACGTAAATTAACTCTCAAAAAGCTCAAAACTTACGATAAACACGCCAGTCATAACACCAAAAATAATATAAAAGAACAGCGCAACAAAGATGACTTTGCGATATTTAAAATTTAGTAAACACGATATATGCATCAATAAATTCCCCAAAAGCTCAAAGCTTCGGATGTACGCACCACACATATCACCGAAAAGAGCACACAAGAACAGCACGCCAAAATTGACTTTACAATATTTAAAATTTAGTTAACCAACAGACTTCGCTGCGTGAACAAACGAAATAAGCATCAAACAGAAGTTAGTGTCGTCTTCAAATAATTGATATCAAGTCAAGATGAATATAATTATCGCGTTATTGGCGATCACCTTCACGCTGGTCTTTTACTTGTTGAAATACCAGCAATCGTATTGGCGAAGGCGTGGCGTGCCGCACGATCCACCCAGCCTACCGTTGGGCACACTCAAGGAGTGGCGTCGTACGAAGTCTATCTGCGAAATATTCAAACCCATCTACAAACAATTTAAAGGCACTGGACCATTCTGCGGTATCTACTTTCTCCTAAAACCAACCGTGTTCGTGCTGGACCTGGAACTAACTAAGAAGATACTTATTAAAGACTTTCAGAATTTTCAAGATCGTGGTGTTTTTCACAATGAAACTTCCGATCCACTCACTGGCAATCTCTTCCAGTTGGATGGACCAAAGTGGCAAGTGTTGCGCAAAAAGCTGTCGCCCACATTCACCTCGGGCAAAATGAAATTAATGTTTCCCACTGTCGTGAAAGTGGCTCACGAGTTAATTGAAGTTATGCGCGAGAAAACTAAAAACGCACCTGATAATGTTTTGGAGATCACCGAGCTGCAATCGCGCTACACTGCCGATGTAATTGGCTCATGCGCTTTTGGTCTCGAGTGTAACAGCTTGCACAACCCCGATGCTGAGTTCGTGATCATGGGTCGCAAGGCGCTGATCGAGCGCAGACATGGCAAACTAATCGACACATTCATAGAGAGTTATCCAAGTTTGGCACGTAAATTGAATTTGTGCTCGCTTACAAAAGAAGTGGAAGACTTCTATGTCGAGATAGTTCGTAATACCCTCGAATATAGAGAGAAGAATCAGGTGAAACGTAATGATTTCATGAATATTTTGTTGGAATTGAAAAACAAGGAAGGCGCAACAGATGGACTGTCAGTGGAGGAGATAGCGGCACAGGCTTTTGTATTCCTCATAGCAGGCTTCGAAACCTCYTCAACCACTATGAGCTTCGCATTGTATGAATTGGCCAAAAATCAGGAAATACAAGATAGGTTGCGACTAGAGATAACTGCGATATTAAGAGAGCACAACAACGAGTGCACTTATGAGAACATACATCAGATGAAATATCTCGAACAAGTTTTATCGGGTATAAGTTTAATTATTTCAATACATTTTTTTCACAAATTAAAAGTAATGCATTTTTTAACTTTAGAAACTTTACGTAAGTACCCCGTRCTGCCATTTTTGGAACGATATGCAAAGGAAGAGTATGACACCGGCGATCCACGCTATCTCATCGAGAAGAACATGGCTGTATTCATATTCAYCTATGGCATACATTACGATCCCGAATACTATCCCGATCCAGAGAAATTCGATCCGGAACGTTTCACTGAGGWGGAAATTCAGAAACGACCTGCCTGCGCATGGTTACCATTCGGCGATGGACCACGCAATTGCATCGGCTTGCGTTTCGGCAAAATGCAGGCGTTAATCGGTCTCGCATTACTGATCAAGCATTTCAGATTCTCCTTCGCACCACAGACACCAGCAGAATTGACTTATAACAAAGAGACGGTGCTGCTATCAGCGGAACATGGCATACACTTGAGGGTGGAGGCGTTGAAAGACTAATTGTATGAGTGAGTGGAGCAACAAGAGAGTTGTCTTCATCATACGTACATACGTAAATAAACACTGTTGTCATAAAAAATGTAAATAAATACTGTTTTCTAAATTTTTATAAAATTCATATGTCATAAAAATATTAAGTAGATAATTAGTAGTACTTAGAGTACTCAGCAAGCAGACTAGCAATAATCTCTGACTAAATACCTATAAGCGCCACGTACTTACTTCGATTAATATAACAGGTGGTTTGACACACCCGCAAATTGTTGCGTAAATAAAGACCTCACTAGACTTAGCCCAATCTTTGGCAAATTAAAATTCTGTGCAGCTTGGCTGATTCAGCACAAAGTTGTCACCAGCCACTGTTGATTAAGTAGTATATTTGCTTATTGCGTGATAAAAATTATAAACCAGTGGATGAAAGTAAAGATTTTGAAATAACTTTAGGTTTTCTAGCGATATGAAAACATGTTCTTGCTTGTTTTCGATCATAAATAAAGCTCAGACCGCCGCCCAAATATAATGACTCGGCATAAATGCTAAGTGATTGTCTTAGACAAAGTATTACCGTTAAGTGCCTACAACAAAATAGTGATAATTTATTGTCGTTTGAGCGAACCGGCAATTTAAGAGAGAGACGAAGTAAACATGAACTTGCAAGCAAAGCAATCTTTATTTATCCACCTTATCAATTTAGGACATTGAACGCTAACCGGCTGATGTTTGGTTAAATTAGATTAGGTAAGGTTATGGTGCTGATGTTCGATGTGGAGATCGCAATTAACAAACTATAAATCATCAAAAAATTGACAAAGTTGGAGGTGAACCTCAATTCGCTACCTATGAGAGCGATTACTACGAGATTGATTCCATTCCAGATATTGTGGCTGAAATGACAGAGATATGAGATTTCAAGTGTTTAATTTACAGAATTTTGGAAGTTAACGTGATCGTTCTTAAGACAATTGTATCAAAATTGTCTCGTTGGAGCAGAGGTCTGCGATTAAATTCTTTGTGAAGGGACGTTAGATATGATCCAAGCAGGCTTACCCAGAGTTGCTTAAGCAAAAAGTGCTGTTTTTCGGTGGCACCAGGCCTTTTTGGAGGGCCGGGAAGAGGTCGTTGATGACAACCGCGCGGGGAGACCTGCGACTTCGATAAACACCGATTATGTGACTCGTGTACGCACAGTTTTGAACTCAGACCGTCGACTACGCCGAGTTTTACATGAAAGTCCTCAAGATACTCAAACGAAGGATCAATCGGGTCCGACAAGACATCGCAGCCGATTGGAAGTTGGACCACGACAAGGCGCCGCTCACACCGCCTTCTTGTGAACAGCTACTTAACCAAGGCCGGCAACCCAACGGCATTTTGGACGAAGAGTAAATTATGATTAAATTTTTAAAGAACATTTTGGTGTGCTTTGTGTACCGGTGAATGATTTCGGACATGAAATGTAGCTTCTACAATTGGTTCATCTATTTCTTTATTAGAAATCTTATTCTTCCTATTCATCATCTGAGAAAAACTTGATAACACAACGACAAGTAGTTTACCCTATACAGCTTAGTTCTTCACTTGAATGCCTCCAAAGTACTCCGCCGGCTGAACATTGTTACTCAGAACTACCTCTTTTAACTAACTATCTAATATGTTAGATTAGTCGGGTCTACGTAACCGGAACGAACTTCGGCCAAGGACTGTCAATTCGCATAATTCAACCGCTACAATAAGAACAACAACCGTTATCGCGCCATGGTAACCGACTATTTTATCAATGTAGAAAGGCCACTTCGGTGAGCGGACAATTTCACGTTTTTGGCGGTCGATTCGCCCCCAAGTTTGTCAAATATTACACCGTTCGATTTTTTTTTTTTTTTTTTTTTTGTATATCCTGAGATACGTAAAGTCTAAAGTCTATGCGGACAATCCGGCTTCGCTCCAGGGCTTGCAGCAAAATGTCACGCTTGTCATTCGTCAGTTACCAGTCGAAGAGCTCGAACGTTTCAACGAAATTTGAACTCAACTGATGGACCATCTGAATCGTAGCTAAGGCCAACATATGAAAGAGATAACTTTTAAAAAATAAATGCCAAAGAATGTTCTTTCGAATGATAATCAACATTCCAAACTTGCAGTTTCTGTATTTTTGCTTAAAAGGGAGGTAAGCTCGAAATGGATCACCTTTTATGAATTTCTTCTTCATAGTCAATTTTCATGATAAACTATCTAGAATGAACAAACTCGTAAGACTTCTAAGCTGTCATTAAACTTGAACTTCTTTACATATAAATAATAATGCAATGGCATAGATTATTAGGGTTCCAGCATTTAGAAACCGGTTTGAGATAATTTCAAATAAAAATATATCGCATGCTACTTTGTCCAAAAACTTAAGTATTAAAAACACGCATGCGATATTTGATTTCGTTAATTTTCCTCCCATTAAAACTCGCGTCGAAATGAGAACAACCATCCGAATATGGGTACTTTGCGTGCAGCTGCACTTAAAATCACTTGAAGTAACTCCACGCTTTGCTTCTTCTATTTTTCAATAATTTTCAGGGTGTCCAAAGTGTAACTGCGTGTGCCTCTGTGTGTAGAACGTTTTCTGCCGGCACGTTTATGTCACAAAAATTTTATATTTATAATTTTGTAATTATTTGGCTTAATTCGCAGCAATGGTATTTAAGGCTGGTTGCACTTTCGTAACTGTTTTCACTGTGATCATTACAAGAACCGGCGATGGACGTCTCAGTGCTGGTCGGCTCGCTTATTGCCATCTTCTTGCTAATTGCGTTTTGTTTACTACGTCAGCAGAGCTACTGGCGTCGGCGCGGCATACCGCATAGCAAGCCCATGCTCTTGATGTGCATGGGAAAAAAGCATGTAGTGCAGATTTTACGCGAGTCATATCAGCAGTTCAAAGGCACGGGACCCTTTTGTGGTTTCTTTTTGCTAGCCACCAATACAGCGCTAATAGTGGACTTGGAATTGGTTAAGAAGATACTCGTTAAAGATTTCAACTACTTCTCGGATCGTGGACTGTACAATAATGCGCACAACGATCCGCTTTCGGGTAATATGTTCTTCGCCGAAGTGGAGGGTTGGAAACGTTTACGTGCAAAACTGACGCCTACCTTCACCTCCGGTAAAATGAAGAATATGTTTCATATGGTTACGGCGGTCGGCGAGCGTTTTGCGGCAACAGTTCACACCCAAATCGGTGGTGGCGATGGTGAAGGTCACGGCAAAGTGCTGCTTGTATCAGACCTAAGTGGACGCTATACCACCGATACGATCGGCACTTGCGCCTTCGGGCTCGAGTGCAATAGCCTAGATGCGGAGACACCAGATTTCGTATTGGTCACGAATAGTTTTATAAATCGCCGGCGTCATAATAAACTTGTCGAGGGCTTAATCTTCAGTTTTCCACGCATTGCACGCTTCCTGGGTATGCGCATTATGTCACAGCATGTGCACGACTTCTATATAAAGCTGGTGGAGGACACGCTCGAGTACCGCAAAGGCACAAAATTGCGACGTAACGATTTTCTTGACCTACTTATCGATATGATGGAACGTGAGGATGCCGATGGCAACCGTATTGAGGGTCTGAGTGTGAACGAAATAGCCGCACAGACTTTTTTGATGTTTCTGGCGGGATTCGAGACCTCAGCAACAACAATGAGCTTTGCACTTTACTTACTGGCGCAGCAACCCGACATCCAGGAACGATTGAGGCGGGATATTAACGAGGTGCTCGCTGCCAACAATGACCAGCTCACATATGAGTGTATCAAGCAGATGAACTACCTGCAACAAGTAATATGTGGTAAGTGCCCATACATAAATATGTCTAATTAAAGCAAAATCAACTTAGTTTATGCTTACTTACAGAGACGCTTCGTATGTATCCGATCGTGCCGAATCTGATGCGCAAGGCACAGTCGTATTACGATACTGGCGACCCAAAGTATTACATTGAGAAAGGCACCTTGGTCATTATACCCACAATAGCCATACATTATGACCCACAGTATTACCCGGATCCCGAGCGCTTCGAACCCGCTCGCTTCACACCCGAAGAAATTCAACGCCGTCCCGCTTGTACATGGCTGCCTTTCGGCGAGGGTCCACGAAATTGTATCGGCATGCGTTTCGGCAGAATGCAGACCAGCATCGGCCTAATTTATTTGTTACGTAATTTTCGGTTTAGTGTCGCCGCGGAAACCGAAATACCCTGTCCATTAATAAAAGCATCGTGCTTGGTTTCGCCAGAGAATGGCATCCAGCTTAGAGTGGACAGAGTGGAAGGCGCCAAGCCCATTAGGCGTGAATAGGAAAATTAGTGAAACTTTGATTGAAAAAGTCATCATTTTTATAATGGGACTATCGGATATATATATGTACATAGTATAAGGTTTTATCGTCTAATTGTAATAAACTGTTTTGAACTAATATCACACTCGGTTAATTTTCTAACAATTTGTGGGTTGAGAAAGCCACTCAAGGGTTCGGTATTTTCTTCCGCATGACAAACTACATTACAATCATAAAGACTTATTCGGTAGTATACTGTATAGCAGCGCTATCTTCTATTCCATAGTCACAGGTGCTAATCTAAACAAATCACTGTTAACATACCTATGAATGAAGGAACATGTGTAAAAAATTTGATATAAAAAAAAACAAATCTTGCTCTCCACACGCTAGAAGTTACGGTGGACACTCTCTCATTTATCATGAACTTATTCTCACCGCAAGCAACGGCAATGCTCTCACCACTGGAGTAAAGATATGAAAACGCACTCATGTCTCGCTCCGCCCGTGTTCAGTTCTAACGCGACCCTTCGTACGTTCACACCACACTTCGGTCAGTTCAGGTGCAGTATCACCTCAATGTTGGGCTATAGTTTCGTAATAGCGCTCTACGCGCTCTTAGGGCTGTTCACAATGTTTGTTGGTATGATACGTTCGCGTATGCTCTATTGGCAGCGTCGCGGTGTAGCACACGACCAGCCGGCTTTTATATTGGGCAATCTGCGAAGTCTTGCCATCACGCGCCAACTCGGTGTGGCATTACGTGAAACTTACGATAAGTATAAGTATAGTGACGGTCCATTTTGTGGCTTCTATTTGCTGGTCAATCCCGTAGCAGTAGTGACGGATTTAAATTTGGCGCGCAATATACTCATCCGAGACTTTCAAAAGTTTGACGGTCGTGGTTTGTACCACAATAAACGCGATGATATATTTTCGGAGAACCTGTGGAACTTAGAAGGAGACGCATGGCGCGCGTTGCGCAGAAAACTGTCGCCGATCTTCACCACAGGTAAAACACAATCCATCATACCGCTCATCACCAAAGTAGCGGAGCAGTTAAAGCAAGCATTAGCGAAACAACAAAGCAGTGATACCGAACTGGAAGTGCGAGACCTGCTTGAGCGGTACACCACAGATGTTATTGCAAATAGCGTACTCGGTTTGGAGTGTAATAGCCTTGAAAGCCCGGATACCGAGTTTCGCACGGTAATAAAAAGTTTCGCCTCAAAGCAACGCAACAGCTTGGCAATTGTCCTCATGCAGTGCTTGCCAAAGCTGGCGCAGCGCTGTCACTTAACCCAGACACTGAGAGAAGTACGAGATTTCTATTACCGCTTAGTCGGCGATACTATATTACAACACGAGGAGCATAATATTAAACTTAATGATCTAATGAGCGCTCTGCTCGACTTGAAGAACACTCAAGAAGCTGAACACAAGTTAACTACCGACGAGATCATTGCAAACTCCGCTTTGTTCTTCAGTGCTGGCTATGAAACTTCATCAGCAACTTTGACTTTTGCGCTTTATGAATTGGCCCTTAATCAGAAGACACAAACCAAATTGCGAAAAGAAATTGCGGAGACGCTGGAAAAGCATGGCGGCAAACTTACCCCAGAATCACTGAGTGAGATGAGCTATCTAGATATGGTCATTACAGGTAAAACGTTGAAATAATATTACACCATTTTCGTAATAAACACGACTTTTCTTTCACAGAAACTTTACGCAAACATCCGATAAATCCCTATATCGAACGTGTTGCGAATCAGGACTACGAAACCGCAGTGGCAGGTTATGTTATATATGGGGGCACTAAGGTGCTCATACCAGTTGAAGCCATACACAACGATCCGGAGTTCTACCCTGAGCCCGAGAAATTCATACCAGAACGTTTCGAAACTGACAGAATGAGTCGTCGCCATCCAATGGCTTGGTTACCCTTTGGCGAAGGGCCTCGCAACTGCATTGGCATGCGTTTCGGTCAATTACTAATCCGAATCGGTCTCATATCGTTACTGAGTCAGTTGAAATTCTCAACTTGCCCACGCACTCCTACTCCGTTGGTATACGATGACACAAGTCTACTATTAAAACCGCAAAGTGAATTGTACTTACATGCAGCGAGACTCTGTTAGTAAGATGACCGCGTGTTCCGACGAAAGCTCAGCTTTTACCGAAGACTTGTGAAGAGAGACCTTTTGGAGAATATACTCGATTCAATAAGCATATTCTTTTTTTTTTTTTTTAGGCAGAAAAATAAATGCTCCGGTAACAAAAATATGTACACAGGAGGTAGCCTTATCAAGTATCTCTTATGATATTAAATGCTGAGAATTCGCATAAGAAATAGTATGTTTATGATAATTGTTTATTTAAAAATGAAATTCAAATTAAATACTTTTACTTATACTACTTTTTTATTTCCATTAAACTTATATAACCTGGCCGATAACTCTCACGATGCTAGAGTAGCGTGTCAGTTCAGTTCCTCCAATTCCTCCACTCTCAAGTATATACCATTAAGTGTATTAACTAAAAATGACTTCACATTCATCTTCAAAGGTATCTCCGTTTTGTCGCATATGCTGAACCGAAATTTCTGCAATAAATGCGCTAAGCCGATACGAATCTGCATGTTACCGAATCGCTGCCCAATACAATTCCGTGGGCCCTCACCAAAAGGCAGCCACTCTACCGTTTCGCGCTGCTGGCGCTTTTCCGGCGTAAAACGCTCTGGATCCCAATGGTCGGGGTTAGGATAGATGTCGGGGTCGTAGTGTATGCCCACAGAGGGCACGATAATCGACATGCCCTTTTTGATAACATAATTCGGATGGCCCGGCACTTGGTAATCGCTCAAAGCCTGTCTATTTAAGTGTGGTACAACGGTGTATTTTCGCAGTGTTTCTTTAGAAGAGTTTGGAAATTAAATGAAAAATAAGATTCATAACTCAGTAAACATGAAAACAAAATAATAAAAATAATATCAATACCAGCTACCACCTGATCCATGTACCGCATAGCCTGTAGACACTCATAAGTGAACTCATTATTGTGTTTCGCAAATGTAACATGCACCTCACGCCGCAAGCGTTCCTGCAACTCTGGCTGTAGTGCCAACTCGTACAGTGCGAAGGACATTGTTGTTGAGGAGGTCTCGAAGGCGGCAATGAAAAAAACAAAGGTCTGTGCTGCCATCTCCGCCATGCTGAGGCATTTCTCCTCGCCGTTCTCACCGCGCAGTTGCTTATCGTTTCTCAAATCAATTAAAATACTCATAAAATCATTGCATTTGATGTTGTTCTTCTCACGGTACTCCACAGTTTCACGCACGATGCGCATAAAGAAATCGCTAATGTCATCATTTATTGAACGCATACGCAATTGGCGCGCTAAATTCGGAAAGCTGTGCAGAAAACCACTTACCAATGGTCCATGGCGTTCCTCACTAAAAATACGCCGCCCCATAACACGAAATTCCGCATCTGGATCACGCAGCGAGTTACAAGCGATGCCAAAAGCAACCTTACCAATTATGTCCGTGGTGTAACGTGCCAAAATCTCCTTTAGCTCGACGACATTTTCCTCTTGCAGCTGTTCACCCAACACTTCAACCAAATTGTGCGTAACCTCTACGATGGTGGGGAACATGAATTTCATTTTCCCAGACGAGAATGTGGGCGAGAGTTTACCACGTAAGCTACGCCATTTGTGGCCATCCAAGAGGAAGAGATGCCCCGTCAGCGGATCGTCACGTTCATTATTAAACATACCGCGATCGGCGAAATTGGCAAAATCCGTTATAAGCACATTCTTGATCAGATTTACATCCAAGAGCACTACCGCCGGACGCAGAAAGAAGTAGAAGCCGCAGAAGGGACCAGTGCCTTTGTACTTCAAGTAGATATTTCGACTGATATCGGCATAGCTCACTGTGCGGTGAATGCCGACCAGATTGCCCAGCAGCCAGTTGGGCTTGTCGTGCGCTACGCCGAGTCTGCGCCAGTAGTTCAAGCGGCGGCGCAAACAAATAAACAGCACAACAAGCAGGGCGACGATGAGTGTCAACAAAAGTGCGGTCATTGACATTGCGAATGAAGGTTTTTCGTATTTAGTACGCGTCACTTGGGTGTATTTTGTTTACTCGGTATTTTGCATTGTTCTTTCGTTTCGTCAGTGCATCTTGAGCCGGTAATCAGCGCTTCTCGATTGCAACTGAGCAGTGCGTGCTCGGGCAAGCGCTTTTATATGTATACTTCCTTAAGCTGCAGACGTTTAACGATAATTCCATATTTTTGTATACAAATATAAATTGACTACAAGAAAACTCTTTCATTTTGATAACTCCACATTTTGTTTATTGATATCGAGTTCGCTAGGAAAATATGCGCATAGCTTGTGAATTTTATCAACATGTGGGCCGAAGGATATTAATTAATTACCCCAAACTTTCGCTGTATTATAACGAAGAAAAATCTCTTTGAGTTACTAGGCTTGAGCTTTATTTCTTTAACTCCAGTTCACAAATGCGCTGACTTTCCCACCATTTTACTAAATCTTTTAATGTCTTATCCAGTTCTAATACACACATACATGTACGAATGTGTATGAATTTCGAGATGGTGAACTGTTATCAGTGTTGTTTTTATATGTGGTAAACAGAGCAATGCAATTAACAATATATTTACTTCAAGCTTGGTATAAACTCGGCACATTTTGATTGGATTTACAGGCAAAGTTCCGTTTTTCACAAAACTGGCAAAATGTTCACGCTTGGCAAAATGGTTTCATCGCCTTAATGAGCTTTAATTTCGCAATTTGTCTTTATATGTTACTGGTTCAAAACTAGTTACCAACTAGTTCAGCAATAGCTGAAAATTATGTTGTTCGAAATATTATCCAAGTTCTTATCATCCAATTCGCTCCAGGAATATTCGGTTATCATTGAGTGGTAGCGATTCCCGTTCACAGTAACGAGCCGATCTTGATTATCACGGGAAAAGTACGGCCCGATGACGCCGCCGGCCCATAAGCCGCCCCAAACCGTAATTGTTTCGAGACACATGGAGCACGTGTGGACTGCCGCCTGACCAATAATGCATATTTTGCTTATTGACGAAGCATTCAGCCAGAAATGAGCCTCATAGTCGAAGTTGATTTTTGGATGAAAATCAAATCCTTGCTGAAATAGCAAACCTTACTGAGGAAAAATGTTAAAAGAGTTGGAAAACATCGTTTTCTGTATCTATCGGTCTACTTTTGCAGCGTCCCTATTGAAAAACCCATTACTTCATACAATTCTCAATCAAAATTCAATAACCACCGCTCTGCTTTGGATACACACCGATTGCAGTATCAACATCTACAAATAAGTTTACGCATTCTCGCGTACTTTGTACACAAATTTGTAGCAATGCATAAAATTTTAGTGACAAAAAATACTTCTGATCGCTTCCATGAGCGAATACATAGATATACATACAAATATTCGCACATTGCAGAGAGACTTAATGAGAGAGTTTGTGTTGCTAAAAATGATCTTCAAACAAGTATTTCGTTTCGTTTACATTAAAGTGGCCATACACGACACAACAATACAAGCCCGATGCATCTCGCATGTGCATTTTTCGGACTGCGGACAGGATGCAGGTCGCAATTTGTATCAGAAACAAAAAATTCTAAGAGATTCATATTTTTTAATAACTTATCTTCTAATTAAACTAAGAAAATTCCAAAAAAAGTGCAAGATTTAAAAGAAAATCAAAAATTGAGAAAAGTGGCATTTGTCCAAAAGAAATTTCGCTTAATGTTGTTTAAAAATATGTTGAAATTTGACTTTTCTTAGTTTATTTATTATACTATTTCCATTCTAGCTTCGATAATATTTCGAATTCCCATCTATAACTTTGGGGACATATTTCTAGATAATTTTTAAAGAGATTTAAGTAAAAAAAATCGATTGTTTGAAACTTCTAAAGCAATAATAAAGATTTCGAATGAGAATTTATTGATCTTATAAAAAATTAATTAGCAATTTGGCAAACGAAAAGCGATAAATATAGAAATAAAATTGAGAAAAATAAAAGTTGGAATAATTTATTAACGAAATACAAAGAAATAGATAAAAGTGCTACATTAGAAATAAATTCCAAGAAATATTCCGCTTGCCTATGGCACACGTTCACTGTGTGAAGAACGAACGCAAAATGGATTTGTGTGTCGTGTATGGGCGAAACGAATTCACACAGATCGAACGCACATGTGTGTCGTGTATGGGTCCTATTAACGGCAATTGCGTTTTTTATGAGATGATCCGAATTTTCGTAAGCTTTTTGATGGCAGAGACCCGCTCTTATATAATTTTTTTTTGTGAAAATTGCATTGTTTTAGAATTGTTTACCTTCTTTAATTACATTACTCTTTTAGGAGTGTTTCGTAACGGTTTAAATCAGCTAAAAATAATATGTAGTTAGAATAAAGTTATGTAAAATATCTGCTCTGAATCATAATCACGTTCTCGCGGTTATATCCTGACAAAATACCAATGATATATGTGTATTAATCAACAGAGGTACTTATACAACCTCCAGATTATACAAGAACCTTTTTGGAGATCTAATATCAACTAGCATGAGCGCGTATTAGGTGTGCCATTTCATAGCTGGAATTCCTGTTGCTATTGATCCGTTAAATACTAAGCACACAGCCCAAAGAAGAAAGGAAACTAGGCGCTGAAGAGAATATTAACCAATTTTTTCAGGGAGAGAATCACCAGATATACTTAGTTACGTGACCCTGCACGTTTTCTTGTGAATTCAAAATATACCTCTCTGAATGGTGAAAAAACAATTTCGGGCTTCCCTAGATGGAAGACTTATATTCTGGCCAAATATAAACAACATATTCAAACAACACAACACGTAAATCATCACTCGTTATAATAATGGAACTCTCCCTCTCTCTTTCTCTCTCTCTTTCTGTTTGAGAAAGTTTTATCTATAGATCATTCAATCACAAGCAATTGGTGTCTCTCTTGAGATAATAAATCCGATAAACTTAAGTCGTTTTACCGTCACTTGATTCTCCAACTCACTTGTATAACTACCCTTTAGCGAAATTTACGCTGGTTATTGATCAATTAGCGAAGTTGAAAAATAAAAATCGGATTTATCTCCACTAAATTCACTTCTTCTATCGTTTTCAATCATTATTAAAAGATTTGTAAAATAAAATCACATACATATTCACAATAGAGGTGTCAATTGAAGTATTCAAATTCTTAAATCTAAAACAATCAAACTTTGTCCACACGCAGCTGTATTCCAGAATATGAATTAACGGTGAAGGTTCTCAGATCGTATATGATGGGTATGGGTGTTTTGTCGCACACGCTAAACCTGAAATTCTTCAGTAATAACGCCAAACCAATGCGCACTTGCATCTTCCCAAAGCGCATGCCAATGCAGTTACGTGGTCCTTCGCCGAAAGCTAGGAACTCAATGCAGTCGCGTGCAGCCTCTTTTTCTGGCGCAAAGTTATCGGGATTGAAAACATCTGGGTTGGGATATAGATCGGGATCGCGATGCATGGCAGCCACAGGTATCAATACATTAATGTTTTTCTTAATCACATATTTCGGATGACCCGGAACAGGATAGTCCACCAAGCACTTGCGATTCAATACTGGCAGCACTGTATACATGCGCAAGGTCTCTGCATTTAGACAACATAAAATTTGTTATTTTTTCCATGCACTGATCGCATATATGTATTTAAACTTACCCGATATGACTTGGTTCAAGTAAACCATTTCGCTCATACAATCATAGGTGAATTCGCCATTGTGGCGCTCGAGCACCTCTAAAACTTCTCGACGCGCACGTTCCTGTATGTCCTGATGTTGCGCCAATTCGTAGAGTGCAAACGATAGTGTAGTCGATGAAGTTTCGAAACCGGCTCTCAGGAACACATAAACCTGCGCTGCCAATTCCTCTACGGTGATGCTCATATTCTGACCATCTTCGGATTTCAACAACTTGTTATTCTTCAAATCCAGCAACATATCGAAGAAGTCGTTACGCCGGATATTATTCTTTTCACGGTATTCGATATTCTCGCGCACAATACGCATATAGAATTCGGTGATGTCGTCTGGAGTCAATTTCACACCTAAGAATCTGGCTAGGTTGGGGAATGAATCCATTAAAAACCCACTTAACGGGTTAATCAATGCATCGTTTACGGCTTTGCGACCCATCTCGCGAAACTCGGAATTAGGATTCTTCAAGCTGTTGCAATCAATGCCGAAAGCGCAGGTACCAATCACATCGGTAGTGAAACGCGCCATGACGTCTTTCACCTCAATCACTGGATCCTCCTGTTGCATTTTCGCAAATACATTTGTAAGCTCCTCTCCCACACGCACAATCACCGGATACATGATCTTCATCTTGCCGGAGGTGAATGTCGGCGAAAGCTTTGAGCGCATGCTACGCCATTTGTGACCATCCATCATGAAAAGGTGCCCGGATAACGGATCGTGCTTCGGATTGCTGTAAATTCCACGATCAGCGAATTTATTAAAATCCTTTATAAGGACCAGCTTGGCCAGCTCTGGTGTTAACACAAACGCATTGGCATTACGACCCCAATAAAATCCACAAAAGGGTCCGCTGCCTTTGAATTTCTTATAGGTATGCATCCAAATGTCAGCAAAGGTGCGTGTCTTGAACAAACCAACTGTATTTCCAGAATGAGGATCTGGTTCTTCACACGGTATGCCACGGTCCTGCCAATAACTTAAAGAATGACGCACACTATACACTACGTAGCCCACAAGAGCCAGCACAATTGCCAAGAGTATTGGGAATATAATCATTTTCGTTTCGCTGCGTAATTTCAATAAGTAGAACGAAAATTATATAATATCGATTTTATTCTTGCTGATGAGGAAATGAAGTGGTAATGAGCAATCTAAACTAACTTCTGAATAGTGCCAGCAATTGAGTGCTATTTAAAAGAGTCGCTGAAGCTTCACGGTGTTCGGTCGAATATGCTGTGTGAGTAAGCTTTTTGACTCATCGTAAATTGAAGTACTAAACTTTTGTGCTTATGCCGATAACGAAATATATAACAGTAAAAATTGGAGAACCTTATTTAATACGCAAGTTTTCCAATTTACTAATGCTCACTTTAAAAAGCATAGAGTTTATTAGTTTGCCTATTAGATATTGCATATCAAAATGATCAGATAGACGAATGAATCTTGCTATCACATCAGCTTTGCAATTGCTAGCGATTCCCCAGTTCCTGTTGTTAATGAGATTTCTATTGAGGATAGACACCCCTTTACAAGCTTTGAACCTACAACATTTCCATATAATATTTTATAGGACTCGTAGTTTTGCCGGAAAGCGGATAAACCATTTTTATCTAAATTGAAATTCCACCATGTCTCTTCATTTGCTTTTCCCGGTCTAAAATCATCCGTAAATTAGTTTATGTTTGTTATTTTGTCTTTCATTACCGATTTGTTTCATTCCACATACCACAAAGTACTTAACCATATCAGCAACCTTGCTGTAGATCTAATATTAGTAATAGTATATTGAGTCACTAACATGAACGCATGTGGTTCCCCCTATTATATAGCTGGAACTCCTCTTTCTATTGGGCCGATATCTACTAAGCACACTGTCCAAAGAAACTGGGTGCTATAGGTATCATAACCGTAATTTTCAGGAAGGGAGACCAAAAGTTAAACATATATTAACCCATGAACTGAATTTAAGTTATCCTACAATAGCTGTTCATTATTCCTATTGGAAAAGTTAAGTTTGATCAAATTTTAACATGATTCATAGAAATGAAATATACTCGAGTTTGTGACCCATAAGAGAACATACTATATAGTATAACACATAAGGACTCAAGAACTATATTTTCTGCTATGTTTCTTTATTGTAAGTGTATATTTTACGAGTAAGTAGTACCGAAGACTCCATTTCGAAGAACCCTTAGATGTAAAACATCTCTTGAGTAACCTAAGCACTGGTTATTATTATCAACACAAATCGGAAATGCCAAACGTTTGGGAATCACTCGAAGAAAGCTATCAGCGTAAACTGATAGATGAGTTGCAAAATTTATTAACTGTAAATACTTTTGGCCCACAAATACTTATATGTATATATACCATTTCAAGTGTTATAAAACGTGTTGAACATGCTGATAAAGGAAATAATATTGAAATGCATTTGGACTTAATCCTTAATGCAACATCTGCTTTATTTTGCGTAACCTATAGATAAATAGACAAGGATTGCATCGCGGCCTTAGATCTATTATGCTCTAGGAAAACAGAAATGTTTCAAAATTTATTAATTCTTTATTAGTTTATTATACTCCATTAAGAACCTTCAAGTCATCATAGTATCATATTACATATAACTTTGGTCAGGTGAACGTCGTATGGTCGTAGTCGAGGGTTAAGGTTGCATGAGTTTCACATTTTTAGTGAAAGATAAGCATTTGGCTTCCTTTGATGTCAGTAAATAAGTACATATGTTTCTGCTTATCGCTGCAGTAGACTATTTTATCAATATGGTAAATAAATATTGTTAATAACGGTGATGACTTGTAATTTCTATTGAAATATTTCTAACCGTTCTTCGCGGTTTTATTATTTACTTTTAACTCTTATCAACTTTAATCTCAATTAGCGCATTTTATATCAAAACAACTCAGTGCAAATTCGTTTAGATGTTCATATGTAGTTTCTTATTATTTGTATGATAATACTGTCATGGTTATATGCAACTTCCCTAAGATATCATTTACATATTTTTGTAAACAAAAATCAAGCCTTTCTCTCACTATTTATGCATGACTCTACACAATTTCTAACTTCCCCCGTGGGATGACACAGTTCTAGCCAAAAATACATAGCATAATCAAACGTCGCAAAATATGACTCATCAATCGTTACAATCGTTTTTAACTATCGCAAAATCCCCGTCTCATTTTAAGAAAGTATATAGATCGATAGGCACAAGCCATCAATATCTCACTTCAGGTATACGTAAAAAATCCCCAAAGGGTATTGCGATGCATGGCTCTCACAGCTATCAGTATTTTCATGTTTTCACATATTTCCGATGGTCCGCCACCAGATAGTCCTCCAGGCACTTGTGAGTCAATACTGGCGGCACAGACGGCGCTCGAACACCTGTAAAACTTCCTGACGCATACGTTTCTGAATCTACTCATGTTATACCAACTCGTAGAGTGCAAACGATATTGTGGTCGATGAGGTCTCTAAACACAGGATGCGCTTCCAATTCTTCCTCGGTGATGCTCATATTCTGACCTCCTTCGAATTTCATAAACTTATTATTTTTCAAGTTGGTTTTACTTTTCCTGGTATAATTAACAACACATTGGTCTTGGTCTATCGTATCAGCACCCAAAGTACCCTGAAGTTTAAAAAAGTTACAGTCCGCCAATTTCAGAATGTGTGTATTTTCAACGATGGAATGTTTGGATGATTAGGGTTAAAAGAATTACTGCAGAGTCACGGTGTTCGGGCGAATATGCAGCGTGAGTGAGCTTTTTGACTCTTCGGTTTTAGCCACTTACTTTTCTTATCGGAGAAAACAATTGTTCTTTTGGTTATGGATAGGGTAAAGTACTGATATTATAATCCGTTTATACCGATAAGCAAAATATAACAGCACAAATTGTAGTACCTTATTTTCGCATTCCTAAAAGTATGCAAGTGTTCAAAATTACTGAGGATGACTTTAATATGCATACATATATACTAGTTTTGCTCCGCATATATTAGGAATATATATTTGGAAGACAAGTGAATCTTCTTAGAATAATTCCTAGGTCACCAATTCGAAAATGACTGCAGATCCAACTGCTTTTCGTCAAATCGCATAACCTAAAAAATTATGAATCAATACCGAGTCCAAATATTTAAGCACTTTATTATTTAAGAAACTATCCCACAAAAATATTAGTCAGAAATACTATTTGCAAATTTGTTTGAAGAACGTAGCATTCTGCTCATACTCTCTCAACATACAGACAAATGGGATGTTCAGACTGCAGCAAAAAGTTGTTCTTGTCAAATGTCATCGGAATCGGAGTTTTCTCACACACGGAAAGCTTGAAGTTCTTCAACAGCAGAGCCAAGCCAATACGAGCTTGCATTTGACCAAACCGCATGCCAATACAATTGCGAGGCCCCTCACCGAAAGGCAGCCAGTCAACACCATCACGCTGAGCCACCTTCTCGGGTGTAAAGTTATCGGGGTCGAAAGTGTCGGGATTGGGATAAATATCAGCATCACGATGATATGCGGCACACGGTATAAGAACCTGCATACCCTTGGCGATGACAAATTTCGGGTTACCCGGCACTGGATACTCCTCCATACACTCACGATTTAACACGGGAATCACAGTATAGAGGCGAAGTGTTTCTGTGTACATAAATACAATCTATTTTAATAATATTGCTTATAGGTATTGTCATTTGATCTTACCGGAAATTACTTGGTCCAAATAGACCATTTCTTTCATGCAGTCATAAGTTAATTCGCCCTTGTGCTTCTCCAGAACATCAATGACTTCGTCACGCACACGCTGTTGTATATCTTCATGCTGTGCGAGTTCGTACAATGCGAAGCTCATGGTGGTCGACGATGTTTCGAAGCCGGCAACGAGAAATACAAAGGCCTGAGCAGCTAATTCTTCAACAGTGATGCTCATGTCTTGACCGTCTTCTGATTTTAACAACTTATTGTTTTTCAATTCGAGCAGCATGTCAAAGAAGTCATTGCAACGAATATTGTTGCTCTCACGGTAGGCGATATTTTCGCGCACAAGACCCATGTAGAAGTTTGTGATATGATCGGGTGTACTTTTAATATGTAGTTTGCGACATAATTTCGGGAAACTATTCATCAACGCCAAACCGATGCGTCCGTGACGCAAATCAGTAAAGACTCGTTTGCCCATCTGCCGGAATTCATCGTTGGGATTCTTCAGACTATTTACTTCAATACCGAATGCACAAGTGCCGATAACGTCGGTGGCGAAACGCGCTAAATAATCGCGTATATCCAAAACCGGCTCCTTCTCTATATCCTTCGCCACAACCTGCACAAACTCCTCACCCACACGGCACACAGTCGGAAACATATACTTCATTTTACCGGATGTGAAGGTGGGCGATAACTTATTGCGCATTACACGCCATCTGTGTCCCTCCAAGAGAAATAGTTGTCCGGTGAGCGGATCATCCTCCACATTCGTGTAGAAGCCGCGATCAACAAAATTATTAAAATCCTTAATAAGTATGGCTTTGGCCAGTTTTGTATCCAAAATGAAAGCCGAAGGGCGTTGAAACCAAAAGAAACCACAAAATGGGCCAGTTCCCTTAAATTTTTTGTAAGTGTTCAGCCATATCTCCACAAACGAACGTGTCGAGCGTATGCCATTTAAATTGCCGAGTAAATAATTTGGCTTCTCACAAGCAATGCCGCGCACCTCCCAATACAAGAAACGTTGACGCAGCCAGTAGACCGCATACCCCAGTAGTCCTAGCAGCGTGACCAGCAGAAACTCGGTGACGGACATTTTTGTTAATAATTAATTAATAGAAACGACGTACGAAAAGAATTATTTTCAGCAATCGTTCAGATCGAGCGTGTGATATAGCAGCGTTCTGCTAACTAAACTCATAGCGAAACTCTGGGCACTAGGAAAGTTGCGTAGTCAGCGCGAGCTTTCGGACGTTAGTGGGCGTGAGCAATTATTAATTTTTTGCATTAAATAAAATTAATTTGAGTACGATTGCGCGAGCTTTTAGCAAATCGAATGGTGTGCGAATTCTCAGAGTGCACTTGTTATCTGACGCTAGAGACGCTGGAGATAGAAGTTAACACAAACCATTTGGCTATCATCATTTGTACAACCATAGGGGAGAGCCGCTTGTGTGTTTATCTATTATTACGCTCCCAAAAGTTTAGTAGTGGATCACTTTAATCGCAATGTTATTTTTTTTTTTTTTTTTTTGCAATTTATACTGACGCTTATCAAATTATTTTTGGCTTCCAAGTGGCTCAAAGTTTGGAAAACAAATCGTAAAAACCTGATAACACAACGAAAGTGATGGTTTAATATTTTTATAATATATCTTTTTATATAACAAGTAAGGAAGGGCTAAGTTCGGGTGTCACCGAACATTTTATACTCTCGCATTATAAAGTGATAATCGATAATTCATTATCCGTCATTTATATATATTTTCACTAAAATGGTCTGATCTCGATGATTTTTATTCGGGCTATGATACACTAGAAATATAGTATTTGTACAATGTTTTGGTCCGTTATCTTCACTGGTGTTGAACTCATATACTATAACGTGAACGAATCAGATGAACTTCAAAATTGTGGTATATGGGAAGTAGGCGTAGTTGTGAATATATTTCGCCCAATTTCGAACCATAGATGCCACGGAAATGGTTCGAATCGATTTTCGCTTAATTTGGTCGAGTAGTTTCTGAGATATGGTTTTAGACCCATAAGTGGCGGAGACACGCCCATTTTAAATTTGAATGTAACCCTTATGTGTCTTCTTTGCCATGAAATTTAAGGTTTTTTGTGTTTTTCCTTACTAAATTAAAGCATTTTTAGTAGATTTCAACATAACATTTGTATGGCAGGTGGGCGTGGTTAT